CGACACTCATGTTGATTTATGACCTGAGGAGTGGCAGATCATTGGTGTGGAATTTCTGCGACACTAGAAGCCTTTTGTTCTATAGGTTCCTCGACATCCCGATACGCAACCACCCGGAATCGACATTAACAATGACATGGCCAGATAACACAGATACAACTCACTTAGGCTAATCGAACAAAATATTCCATATTTACAGGCAAATTTTTCTGTTTGCAGAGATGTTATCCTGAAACAAAATATTTCATATTTACAGGCAAATCTTTATGTTTGCAGAGATGTTACCCTGGAACAAAATAATCCATCTTCTCCACAGGTAGGTTTAACACCGATCTTTCCACCTATACAAAACACAACGGAGAATGCCAACTCATCAAATTCTACAAAGAGTCAAATCCATTTAAACTATGTTTGGCAGAAATCTAAAAAATTATCTTCATTTCTTTGGAAATTTACACTAAGTTACGTATGGAAGGTTAAAAATTGTTATAAAAAAATTAACCAAGTGTAGAGTTCTACGTGAAACTAAAATATTACATTTCAAATTGGATCAAGTTTGATGGAATCTAGAATATGAATTCCAATTTCATGTAGATTTCTATATGATGACTATTTTTATTATTTCCTATTAGAACTTCCATCAAATTTCTAAATTTGTTCTAAACATTACCTTAATTTACACTTGAAATGAATTTAATTTTTTTTATTCATTTATAAATTCACACAAAATTTGACTAGAGTTCAGAAGCACTGTTTCAATTTCACGTACAATTCAATACGTATATGTGCTTACAGCCTTGAATTTATCTCCTAATTGAATTAAGTTTAGATTTATAAATTGATTCTATAACTTTCTGAATTTATTTCAGATATAGCCATAGTCATTGTTTAGTCAAACATCAAACATTGTTTCCTATCAACTAGAAATTTGAGGATAGACAGCAATGCTGGAGACTCATCATGGAAATGAGACAGATATTTGATTTGCGAAGGCCAGGGAAAAGGTGTTTTGCTCCCATGATTTGTTTACATTCTCGCATAATTGAAAATGGATGTTCTCGCATATTTAGAGACTAGTGAAACAAGATAACCAGAAAACAGAAATGTACCTCTTCAAATGGAACGAAGACAAATGGGGTTAAACCCCTCTTATGCGAGACTGCAGGCACATCTGGGTTGTGAGTTTCATCATCTTGCCATCCTTCTACCAATTCAAGAATGTCCTCATCAGAGCTGTTTCTGACCTCACTATCATTCACACCACTTGTAACAAGTGAGAGTAAATCCATTCGGTTGTTAGCCCCTGCAGTTGTTCCTCGTACCCTATATG